TTCCTTGCATAAGGATCATGTCAATTGTTTAATTTGTTTCCAATGCAAGCTTTTTTGAATTCTTCATCATGTTTACATGTAAGATGCTTCTGAGCTTGGATACGCCAGTTTTTTGATCAACTGTATATACCGGGGGTACGTAATTTACGAGGCTTGCATGCTCTAATTCTTCATTAATTTAAAACTCCTTCGGAGCTTGGACAAGCACATTTTTGATTAACTAAGTATACGTAATTTTCGGGACTGATTGTCCTTATTAATCATTACTTTGAAGTTCCAATGTTTTATCCACGAAATACACGTAATTTTCTGAGCTTGCATGTCCTAATTAATAATAACTTTGAAGTTAAAAATTACTTTTGAGCTTGGTAATTTCATTAGAATTCTGTCTGATGTTTTCCTTTTAGTTTTCATAAGTTTCCAAAAAGCCGTCGTCTATAGGATATCATTAATATGTTATTGAATTATTAAGATTGTTCAGCACTAGTCTTAGAACATTGTACTTGATTTACCGAAACATATTCTACAAAAATACATTTAAAACATTATGATGAAACAAAATGCATTTATTTGCTCTATTTCATAAGAAAAAAAATATTCCTACACCGTGTTTACTTTATATATATATGCGTGGGAAAAAAAAAACAAAATAAATGTAAATTAGATCATTATTTAGATTTGTATATGAAATATATTTAATTGAATAGGATGTGTCGTTTTTCCTTTCAAAACACAAGAGAGTATAATAGGGGCGAGTTTTCTCTACAGTGGGGGCGAGCTGACTTGAGTGGGGGCTAGTTGTCTTTACAGGTGCTGGGGCGAATTGTCCTGATTCCATGCAGGAGAATAGTGTGTTGACTAGTGTGAAATTCATTTAACATTTTGTGGTTTGAAATTTTCACAAAGATTGATTTTAATAGAAAAAAACCTTTCATTTGATCCAGTGTTTTTATTTTTATCAAAATAATTTATTCACTCTTTTATATAGCAAAGGTTTGCTTGAGGTGTTATAATTCCAATTTTAATTTTATCTATTGACTCCTTGTGTTTTTTATTAGACGAGATCTAAGTCTAGAAAAAGTTTACACATCGAAAATTTTTTCAACCAGAACTACTTTCTTAACTGTTGTAAAAACAATGAAAACAGATACTTCTAGCCCGTTTTAGCTAAATTATGATTACAGGAAACTTATGTTTAGATATAATGAATGAATGAAAAAATAAATGAATGAATGAATGAAAAGGCGTTAAACAGGACTGACAGACGGGAATATTATGTTTATGTCACTGTCGGATTTCGAGTGTGAATTTTTGAAATCGCTGATAATGCTGTCATTTTCTCGACGTTCCATATCAGCTCATTTGGTATCGTTGTGATAGGAAAAAGAAACATACCTCAGACTCCTGCCTTTTCAGCATCAAATTCATATATTTACATCCTACAGATCCTCCATAAATATTTGAACGAACCAGAGCAAATCGAGGACGTCGTCAATTTGTAACTTTCCTCATGACATAAACATTGCCATGGTCAAGGACGAATTATTTTTTTACGATATTTACGATATTTGTTGACTTAATCAACATTCAGTCAGATTTTATAAGTTTAATTATTGATTGGTTTGACAATTAAAGTTAAATTTTATCTATATCCATCTTGTTTACATTTCTTTTTGGCATAAAATATTCCTACACCGTACAAAATAACGGTTTGTATGGCGGTCTCAAAGAGAAATAATTTTGATAATCAAAGAAATTCTTAATTGGAATAATAAGAATTAAATGTTCTTTTTTTTTCAGAATTTATCGATGTGTACTCTCTGCCTTTTTACTCACAAACTTTACATAAAAATGCTTCGCACTTTTACTCAGTTTGTTAGTAAAAATGCAGAGTTTACTCATCGATAAATTCAAAGAGCTGAAAATTTTGGAAAAACTAAAGGAATCGGAATTCCCCTATTATATGCACATCTACACATTATGTCTGAAATAACTGAAAAGTTTGAGGAAATCCTATGCAGTGGATTAAGACGAGTTGAGCTTAGAAACTGTTCAACTAAGATATGGCCAAGTGCTTAAATTTCCAGGGAAATAACGAAATCAAAGTTCTCCGGTAATGTGCTCATCCGTACATTGTGAAAGAGGAGTTGCGCGGACATACTATCTATCTCAAAATTCATCAAACTTTGCAGATATTTAGAACACAATGTGTATATGTGCATATAAAACCGATTCCTTAATTTTTTTCCGGGAATTTCCACACTTTTCAACTTAGATTGTTGGTCATACTTTAAACCTTGTAGTGGTTTAAGAGAAGTAGCACTGACAAACTGTTCATCTCGTTTAAAGTCATCATTTCATAAGTTATATGGTCGATACAATGACCTTGTCAGGAAAATACAATTTATCTTTGAGTCAAATGCTGGCTGACGTTTTTCATACATATTGTTATTTCATTATTTATACACTGAATTGACGACGGATTTTCAATTATTTTCCAGTCATGACACCTAGCACATGTCGTGTGTCACCGGTCAGCGGTCCTTTAAAATTGTGGTCGAGTAAAAAAGATTTTTGACTGCAACTCTGAACAAGTAACACAAATGTTAAAGGAGATCTTCTGTATTGTCAGTCCTAAGAAGTTGAAGCATATAGACATACCTCCGCTCTCTATATAAGGAGATGATCGAGCTGTTGGAAGGTTTTGTAGGTTTTCATTGATAAAATAATCTAAGACTTGCTGAGAACGATACCCGGCCCTAAGTACCGGTAAATACCTCTTTACAATAAAACGGTAAAGTCGCTTTCTTTAAAGCGGTGTTAATGTAATGAAATATATCAAGAAAACGAACATTATTCAAGATAAAAAGTCCATCAAAGAATTTAAAAATAGGAACAAAGCAAACACTGACCGTTATGTGCTCCTTTTTATGATTTGCAAATGACCAAAAAATTGATGTCGATTCTGTGTGTAAGTTAACATTGAACTCAATGATAAATTGTATTTGCTGAAGAGGATAGAACTTCCGAACTAACGACTTTAAAGGAGAATGCTGATATTTGAAAGGAAAGATACTGTAGGTAAAAAGTAAGATATATTGCACAAACAGATTTTCATTGATATGTTTCTCAAAACTTGAGAATACGAAAGCAAACATCGACTTTTGTATAATATAAAAACGAGATTGGGAGTTCTGCAGGAAACCAGAAAAAAGGAAACAATAAAAGCTTAAGTTTTAATGTATTTTGTACGTATGGAATGCACTTATTTGCAAAAAATCCAAAAGTCCAACATATGCTTAAACCCAATATCACCATTTTGTCAGACAATGAGTGCCGGGTTTGCAAAAGCTAATAATTTTTTGGGGCTCGGAGGTTCTTGAATAGGAGTTTTTCTTTTCAAATTACTTCCAAATTTTCATTTTGTATTGGTTATCTCCCCGCAAAAGAAGAAGTGCCGCTCCAAACAAACGGACAACAGACTAAATGTGTTTAGAAATGTTAATGTAAGCTTTCAGCTTTAGGAGAGTTTAAAGGCAATTAATGAAGGCGAAAATTAATAACTTCTGGTCTCTCTGTATTTTCATTTTTTGAATGCTTTGCATTGCTTAGATCCCTGATACAGGTGTATAAAGAGTGAAGTTTGGAAAAATGTGCTAATTCTAGAATCAGATCAATTATTTTTTTTCTATTAGGAACAGGCAAAATACTGCAATGAATACAATTTTACTTTTCTTCCCTTTTTTTGGTTTTTATTTCAGTCTTAACGTTTTATATTCCAACACTTTATTCTTGATCGAGGAAAATTACTATCTTGCAGATGATTAAACAAGTAATTTCACATTTATACTTATCTATAAAGAACATAAGGCATTCATAGGAAATGACAAGAATATAAATATTTTGTCGGAAGCCTTGTCAAGGATCTGTCATAAGATCATTAAGATATATACGAGAAAGAAGGAAGAAAGGTTAAAATAGAGGATTACCAAAAAATAAATGGAAAAAAAATCAAGAGTAAAGAACATTGAAATAGAAAAAAAGGAGTAAACAATGTTCCTTGAATCATTGATGTTTGTCAGACTTTTATATGAAATAAATCCTAAATCACGTTCATCATGGGAATACTGAGCAATTCATTTCCTATTTGCATCAAGAGTTATTTGTTAACATGATTTTTTTCTGAATATGTAATATGAAATGGTATACTAGGTTATTGGTAAAAAAAAAGTGAAAAAGGTGCTCATGCAATCTTACTTAACTACTGTGTGGATTAGTGGGAAAACATTTACCGCTTTAGAGATAGTCTCAATGAAAAACATTTGATTAAACTTTCTTTTGGGTTTATACATAAAAAAAAATGTGTTACAGTTTTAATTATGAATTTTTCCGCACTATGAACTCAGTTGTAAGGAAACAATATCTTGATTGGAAATTGTATTTTACCCCTTTTTCACTTACATTTGATGCCCAGGAATAAAGTCATTTTCCCTAACTAATATTCAGAATATCAATGTCATAAATATATAAATATTTAATCTAATTTATGACTTTTATACATTCTGTATGTATTTTTAAACTTTGAAGGTTTGTTTATATGAAGAAATATCTTGGTTCACATCTGAAAATATATACAAGAAATAACAGAAGCGGTGAAATGACATTTCATGTCTTAGACCAGACGTAAAATTACCCAAAAAAAATTACCATAAGGCTAACTTTAAAGCAATCTCTGTATCAGGCCAGAGAGATTTTTTTTTCAAACACTTCATATTAAGGGGTTTTTTCTCACACATGCTTTATTCAATATAATATGCTATTTTTTCTCTGTAGAAAATGTAAATAAAACAAAGATAATTAAAAGGAAAAGAATCAACCTAATAAGCTTGATTATAAATATCAAATTTGTCTTTATATATAAAAAAAAAATCACGTGACACTACTTATGCATTTGACCCTAATGTTTTATTTGAAAAAAAAACCATAAGTTTGTTATAAATACTTCTTCCTCAAACCTACATGTACGTCCTTGTTTCAAATTAGTTTGCATCTGACATCATGGACAGCGGACTGGTGTTGTTTTGTGTTCTTGGAATACTGATCGGGAATATTGCAACTGCTTATGGTATGAACATTTTCTTTTCATTAAGTAATTTTCAATAGGAATGATGACTTGCATTTATTTTCCTTTTTTACAACTTGATTCTACGATCAAAAACACCACAATAAAACAAATTCTACAATTGATCAACCGGAAACTGTAATTAATTTGGGAAATCATAGCCCCCGTGACACAGTGATTAGAGTGTCTGATCTAGAGTCACGAGTAAGGAGTAAATCCTTACGTCGCGGTTTCGAATCCCATTGTGAGTCGTGGAAAACCGGTCCCTCGGATGAGACAGTATAAACTAAGGTCCCGTGTCGCAGTAAGTGCTGGCATGAAAAAGATCCCTCCCTGCTCAATGGCCCTGAGTGCCGATTAAAGGACAATATGTGCAGCTCTCCACCGACAAGTGGCTGCGTCTTTATATGAGTGAAAAATTCTCTTATAGTAAGAATGACAGTCCCGGTGTTTTGCTATGGGTAATACAACATAACTATCTCTTAAATTAAAAATTAAGGACACTTTCATAGAATCTTTACGAATTAAATTGAATTAAAACTATGAAAATCATATTTCTTTTATTTAATATGTGACCTATTAATAATTTTAACATATATTATACACCAAGTACATTTAAAACCAACAGATATCCATACATAGATATGCTTTTGCCAATTGTAAGATTTGCTTTCGAAAAATTTTGCCTCATGGGGATCTGGGTTAGAATAGGTCCCTACTACCCCCTTGCTTGTCGTAAAAGGCGACTAAATGGGGCGGTTTTTCTGATGAGACCGTATAAACCGAGGCCCTGTGTCTCTCTCAATCCCCCCTCTCTCTCTCTTTAAAAGTAAACAGAGTATTTAAATATTGTACATCGCTAGATTTTGTGCTGACCTTATTTTTAAAAATATTATTATTTGTAAAGACGTGGAATGTTATGTTTGAACACTAAGGAATATTCACGATTTTTTTTTATTCATAGATATAATAATTATCTATGTGACTTCTTATCAATGTCCGATTACATCTGCACGATTTTTTGCTGTTGTGTACCCTTATCAACTTCTTTGAAACTTTAGAGTAAAAAATAAAGATCAAGAAAGATAGTATAAATTAATGCCAAAATGCATAATATGACTATGCTCTCAAACTATCGCTAATGTACTAAAGAATCGAAGATTTTGAAATCCCCAACGAAAGTCTGAACAAATTAAGAAAATGAAATATGAAATTTTCTGATATTGCGAATTAATGGTTATTGTGAACTAAAAGAAGAAAATAATATCATTTACATCTTTTATCGTGAATGTTTAAAGATATGTTTGGTAAGCATACTGGATGAATTTGAAATTAAAAATTATTCTATTTTGGAACAAGTTGCCTTGTAAAATTGAAAATTTCAGGATCACATAAAACTTTAATGCTTGGATGTTTTTTTTTCTACTGAATAGTTTCGTTTTTATGAACAGAGAACATAGCATTAAATAAGCCCGCCTGGCAGCAGTATCCTTATTCTCATCACTCATGGGGAGCAGATAAAGCCGTGGATGGACGGTATTCAGACCCGTCTGCTTTAGGAGGACAATGTACAATATCGGCCAATAGAAAAACAACGGCAACCTGGTGTTTGGATTTAGGAGAAGTACTCAGTATTCACCATATAATTATATACACCAGGACGGACAATTTACCTTGGGGTACTGTACGGAAGCGTATTGCTGCCACTTGAAAAAAAAATATTGTAAGTCGTACGTACGACATAATAAGTCGTACGTACGACATAGTAAGTCGTACGTACGACATACTAAGTCGTACGAACGAGATACTATGTCGTACGTACGACATACTAAGTCGTACGTACGACATAATAAGTCGTACGAACGACATAATAAGTTGTACAAACGACATAATAAGTCGTACGTACGACATAATATTAAGTCGTACGAACGACATAATAAGTCGTACGTACGACATATTAAGTCGAACGAACGAAATAATAAGTCGTACGTACGAGATACTATGTCGTACGTACGACATAATAAGTCGTACGTACGACATACTAAGTCGTACGAACGAGATACTATGTCGTACGTACGACATAGTAAGTCGTACGTACGACATAATAAGTCGTACAAACGAGATACTAAGTCGTACGTACGACATAATAAGTCGTACGTACGAGATACTAAGTCGTACGAACGAGATACTATGTCGTACGTACGAGATACTATGTCGTACGTACGAGATACTATGTCGTACGTACGACATAATAAGTCGTACGAACGAGATACTAAGTCGTACGTACGACATAATAAGTCGTACGAACGAGATACTAAGTCGTACGTACGACATACTAAGTCGTACGAACGAGATAATATGTCGTACGAACGAGATACTCAGAACGTAGCTGCAGCTTTATGGTTTTGTATTTTAGTCTTTGATCATATATTAAATGCAAATAATAGGCAATCTACGGCGCAAGATTTGAACGCACTTTTGGGAAGAATTTTCACACTTTCCAGCATTGGTCTATTCCTAATTCTAAACACATTTTTTAACCAATATGTTTATTTTATCAACCTTCTAGCCCTTTATATTCGTTTCTACAGGCGATAAACTCGCTTGATTTGAATTGTCTGTTGGATTGCAGAAAATTCAAATCAAGCAAGTTTATCACCTCTGCCCGATTCGAACTTGGGATTTTACATTGTTTATTTCATATTTATCTGCAAAACTGTTTATTACAATTCATAAATTATAGACTAGGAAGGATAAAGATGTTATTCAATATGATATATTTATTCTACCCGTGAGCCTGCATATTTTCAAAGCCTTATTAATTTCGGGTTTAAAATGGTATGATCAAGAGTAAATGGCTATATAGGATATCGTCTAGAAAGTCTGAAAGAGTGTTTAAACGTAGAGAGAAATTATAAATTACTTTTATAACAACAAGTTGCGAGTGGTATAATGTCTTTGGCACGTCAGTTAGTCCGTCAGTCCTTTTTTTTTTTTAAATTTCTTTATTTTTTTATAAGCATAATTATTCTTAAACAGCTGCATAAAATTTCATGAAAAATTGTAGAAAATTAGGACACAATGTATAGATATGCATATTCCTAAAACAGGCACGTTACAATATTATTGTTTAAAATTTGCATTGAAAGGCCGGGGGGGGGGTGTCGTGGCCATTTTAGACAATATTGCTCTCCTTTAGAAGAAGAGCTCCATGTGAAAATGATCAAATTTAACAGCTGAAATAAATCAATTTTTTCTTATCATATTATAGTTTACGGCTTATTTATTTGATAAAGAAACATTTCATGTATACTATGTATATATTAATTTTAGGGTGGCAACTTTGCTTAAAGTCATTTAAAATCTAAATAGCATGCTTTCTGTTACGGTCCCGGGTCTTCAAGCTGATCATATACGTAAAACCTGTTGGAAAAATGCTTAATAGATAAATAATCTTCTTAAAATCAAATCTAGAAGATATTCTGTCCCTCACATCATGATCATTTACTACTTCTGCGATTTCATTTTAATTTATTCGTTTGGAAACTTTTCCGAGATTAAATGTATTAGATTATTCACGCATTTATTGTTTTTGTTTGTTTGTTTGTTTGTTGTTGTTTTTTATTTTTTTTTTTTGGGGGGGGGGGGTGATACTATAGGATCAACCGCATGCCATTCATGTTTTGTGTTTTTTCTTTTTTTTGGGGGGGGGGGGGGCGTTTGTGTGTGACTCCTTCATCGTGAGGAAGAATGAATAATTCTTGTCCTCAAACAATGAATGCTTACACTTGGGATAATTTTTAGAGAATATTTCTGGTCTACATTCTCATAAATGTCGTTTATCTCTAAAGAAATATAAATCATTTATAGAGGAAATCCGAAAATGAAGTGAAATATACAAGTCTGTTTTCATAGAGAAGTAAACGTGTGCCACCAGGTGATTCGAACCAGGCCACAGTAAAAATGTTGAATGTCAGTCTCAAAACACCCGAGCTTTTCTAATCAAAAGGAAATTAAACATAAATATAAACCATATATATAATTAAAGAAATATTTTTAATTTTCGGGATTTTTGTACTTTTCACCCACATCGGTACCCCCTGAAAAGCTTAATAAATTTATAATATTCTTTCGATAAAAACGTATCAAATTATCAGATTCTTTGAGGGGTGGAGGGGGGCTGCTTTGGATAGGACTTCTTAATCAAAGTGTAAAATTGACTTTTTTTAAACTGTTAAATAGATTGAAGTTACATATGTATATGAAATTAAGGTTGTTCAGTTTAAGTAATCAAAAGCACAACTATTGGCACGCCCGTCTATTCATGATATTATAAAGAAAACCGAATAACTACATATTATATCGTATAAGTAACATAAAGACATGGCTACAAGGGGTTTATGTTATCTCGTTCGTCCGACTTAGTATCTCGTATGTTCGACTTAGTATCTCGTTCGTACGACTTAGTATCTCGTACGTACGACTTAGTATCTCGTTCGTACGACTTATTATGTCGTACGTACGACATAGTATCTCGTTCGTACGACTTAGTATCTCGTACGTACGACTTATTATGTCGTACGTACGACATAGTATCTTGTTCGTACGACTTATTATGTCGTACGTACGACTTATTATGTCGTACGTACGACTTATTATGTCGTACGTACGACTTAGTATCTCGTTCGTACGACTTAGTATCTCGTTCGTACGACTTATTATGTCGTACGTACGACTTATTATGTCGTACGTACGACACAGTATCTCGTTCGTACGACTTAGTATGTCGTACGTACGACTTATTATGTCGTACGTACGACTTATTATGTCGTTTGTACGACTTAATATTATGTTGTACGTACGACTTATTATGTCGTACGTACGACTTATTATGTCGCTCGTACGACTTATTATGTCGTACGTACGACTTATTATGTCGTACGTACGACTTAGTATGTCGTACGTACGACATAGTATCTCGTTCGTACGACTTAGTATCTCGTACGTACGACTTACTATGTCGTACGTACGACTTATTATGTCGTACGTACGACTTACAATATTTTTTTTTCAAGTGGCAGCAATACGCTTCCGTAGTACTGTACAAAATACTGATTAAAAAAATGTTTCATTATTGAAATAGAAAACTTCATTTTTTGCATTCCGTTTCGTTCTATTAACGTTTTTCTTTGTTATATGCTTTTAATATGCGCATCTTTGAAAATATTTTCTTTATTGATTTTTTTTTTAACTTTGTATAATCACAATGTAATGTGTTAGGTATAACTATAACTTTCCTATTTTTGTTTATTTTTCAGTCTGAGGCATAATTACTTTTTAATGTTCAAATAGTTTGATATTTAATTTCAACAACCGTCAACGTTATTATCAGGATAAAATTTTGAACTAAAGGAGAGATAATACAAACAATTTTTTTCTTTGAAAAAGATTTAATATCTTTTCACAAGTTTAGAAAAGTGGATGGTTCTAAGAATTTTTTCTCCTAAGAACTGGAAAATGAAATAGACTTGGAAAATATTAGTAATATTTCAATAAAAAACAAATATAGACAAATCACATTCAGTAAATGTTTAGAGCTGAAAACAATTTTCAGAATATGTAAACATGGTGGTAAACGTGTAATAGAAACTTAAGAAATATATACCAAGCCAGGTGAATTTTATTAGGAAAAGCTAAATGGTAAAAAAGGCCCATGTGATATTGCTCATTTTGTGTCATTTTCATCTTCCTCTTAAAATTCACCTGGCTTAGTATATTTTTCAAAGGTTTATATTACACTTTTAGCGCCAGGATAACATATTTTGAAATTTATCTTCACCTGTAAACCTTTACTGAATGTGATTTGTCTATATTTGTTTTTTATTGAAATATTACTAATATTACTAATATTTTCCACGTCTATTTCATTTTCCAGTTCTCAGGAGAAAAAATCTAAGAACCATCCACTTTTCTAAACCTGTGACATGATATTAAATCTTTTTCAAAGAAAAAAATTGTTTGTATCATCTGTCCTTAAGTCTGATCCGAACCATTCATCATTAAAATGGAAATCCTTCTCCAGGTTTCTAATTCGATGTTGTACGACGCATATAAATAATGATATCGGATTGGGAAACTAACTGTATATGTTTATGATAAAAATATATATCTACAAAATAACATTTTAAATAACTTTTTTAGACGCAAGTAACGGTTACACAGCCCGATTCCATGGCTTCTCTGTTTACGTTTCAAACACGACAAACAAAGACGATGGAATTCTATGTTTTAAGGATACAAAATACACTAGGTCCACAATACCAAACAATGTAACCATAGAGTGTGTTAAACACGGACGATACGTCATTTATTACAATGAAAGACTCCCGGGAGTTAGCTACCCTGAGGGATATTCGTATTACGCTTTCAACGAGCTTTGTGAACTTGAAGTTTATGGTAAGAACAGAACACTAAAACATTTAACACTAACAGAATCTTTTTATACACTGACAAAGTTGTAATGTAAATATTGAAAGTATACAATACCTTCAAGGACTCAATTTAAACTTTGGTTCAACGAAATGGTTATTGAATAGAAAAAGGTCAAAATATACACGTGAGGGTTTTCGAATGTAGACATTTAGTGACGATTAACTAGAACAGGTCAATTAATCACATATGTTATAATATTTAATATAATACTTAACCCAACCAAGTGGCAATTAAAATATCCACAGGATGAAACTGAGAGTTGTGTTAAATATTAATGAAATGTCAATTAATGACAGTCATGTTTGTCATCGATAACCATTTGAGATTCGGCATCAGTATTTTGTTGACTGAGTTGTTCTTATTTTCTAAATCCATTACAAAAAAACTAAAAGATTGTTGCAAAAAGAGCAAAAGAGTTTCATTGTAACTTTTATTTTCCCAGATTTTTTGTGCAGTGATGTGTGAAAAAATGTATGCTTTTCTCTGAAACCCACAAAAAAGTTTAAAATTTCTTTCTTATGTGTAGTAATTTATAACGTCTGGTCAATTTTCAATTAGGATGTCCTTCCCCAGGATTATACGGAGAAAACTGTAATATACGGTGTCCACAGAATTGTCAGGATGGCCATTGTAACATTGTTGACGGGACTTGTCTTGGATGCGTTGAAGGTTACAGGGGCTCACGATGTGAAAAAAGTTTGTACATACAGATCAGAGAGAGAGAGAGAGAGAGAGAGAGAGAGAGAGAGAGAGAGAGAGAGAGATTCATTATCATATGTTCTGCTAGAAAGCACTTGTATGTGTCATTAAATATATTTGCACTTGAAAATTAACGATTACACTTTACACGATTACACGATTATGTTTTGAAAATGGATTTTAATGCCGTTTTTAACGAACAGCAGATTTTCCTGAGTAAGACATTTTTTTTCCTTCTCAGAATGTGACAATAATAGATATGGACTTGAGTGTACCCTAACGTGTGGTAACTGTAGCAATGGAGAACAATGTGATCACGTGAACGGAAGTTGTCCTCACGGATGCGACAAAGGGGCGCAAGGAGATAAATGTAGAGAGGGTAAAATGTTGTTCTTTTTAAGTGCGCCTTTTAAATGAGAAGTCTGAAAAACTACAGTCAAGGGTATAAATATTCGCCACTTCAAAATGTTTACCGATTTTTTTACATCGCACATTTTAATATTTAGGTGATGATAAAAAAGTAATAAATTCCCAAATTCACCCCAAAGTTTGTTAAATCTCTTATCTTGAAAACTTCGTTCTTCTACCAGGAATTGTGTTATATGTCGGAGGATGTCACATTTTCCACGGTATTCGGCATTTCCGCCATCAGTTGATTATTTGTGTTTATGAATTAACCTTAACCAAATATTTTTGATAATATTTAGATCAAGAGACGGGACAGGTCATGATATTGTAATTATGATGTTATTAGCGACGCATTCTTAAACTTAATTCCCTCTAATAACAGGAATATTGTCGTTTCTTGTCCGTTTATACAAACACATCCCCAGAACATGAGACCCAGATGTCGTCCAGATGGCGGACACACTAGCTGCGTTTTGTACTTTCCTCGTCCTTTTTATTAAGATAAGAATTTTCTTATTTATTCCAAATACTATTTGCCTTCTATCACTGAATTAATTCCATTTTCGATAAGCAGTTCATTTTTTTCTCAATGCACCACTGACAACGATCTGTTTTGCTGGACTCACAAATAGCATTTTTTTTTCTTGACAACATTCCGTTCCAAGCTCTTTAAGTTTCTTTTTATACTTCTAGTACAAAATCTTTTTTACAACGCATTTTTACAATTTTTACAAACATACTTCTGAGGAATTCTTAACCCATTCCAAACCATGTTGCTTTTACACAAATTTATCGACACATAATAAAACAGACGACAAAAATATAATGTATACATTATTTTTCAATTTAAGTATCACAGCACAAAAAATGAGAATATGAAGGGAAAAGCTATTGTTTTTAGACTAACTTTACAGAACATGCGCGTACGTTACATGTACGTAATTTGCGCAAAAGTGGCGAATATTTATGTCCCTTGACAATATCTTATATTTTCAACTATGTGAAATTATTGATAGTTTGATTAATATTTAATCTTTTTAGTTAAATAAAATTAATATTTCAATTGCTCAGTGGCAAGCATCTTGCTTTAAAAGGTCAATTTTAAAAATTTACAGGAAATTCATTTAATGAAAAACATATAAAAAAGTGAAGACTGTAAGAATCGTATTGCTTCAATGAACTATGAATGTCGAAGCTGTCCTTAATTACCAATTTAATGAATTTAAGGCATAATTGAGAATTGTATTTATTTAAGGGGCGAAAGACACATGGTAACATGCCTAAGAATAATAACGTCATAAGATCATAATCTATTGTACATGTAGTATATTTGATTAAAACCACAGTATTTGGATGATTTTTGCTAGCTTGTTTGACTTCACCACTATCTATAAAAATATTTTAAAAAGTTTTAAACTTTTCCTACAATATTTACTTCAAATCTTTGTCAATTCATCTTCAAATGTTAACACATTACGGAGTAGACTGATCCACTCTTTTGTTCCCTTACGTTGCGCGTCCAACGAGTCTTTACATGTAGATAACAAACGGAAAAAACACGGGCAGGATTATAAAAGGAAAAAGGCATCATGATCAGAAGAATGTAGGGTATAATGAGAATTAGGGAACACAAAATACCTTTAGATAGGCTTGTGTAAGTATATGTTTTAGGGACTTTGAGATTGAATTCTGTTGGGTATCTCTACATCCTTTTTGGCTTACTTTGAATATACTTTGAATATATGTGAGAACATAGCTTTATTTTATTTCCCGTAAACGTGAAATGTAAACCTGACACGTTTTTCTCATGCATATGTTTTGGTGAACTATGCCCTGTGCTATTTTGAGGGCAGCTTCTCCATTTGATATTTTTACAGTTTATTAATAAAATGAAGAACTTACATTTCAATGTAAATTTTTATATATTTATTGGAACGATTTTTTGCAAATTACTTATTTCATTATTTAAGTTCTCTGTAAACGTACGCAATTCCCTGTCTCCAGATGTTGTGTGACACTTTAATCTTGCTCTTTAATTTCTTTAAACCCTATTCATACACTGAAATGTTTAAAACAAAGACACAATAACACTGGCACTTTTTTTCTATGCTGAAAAAATTCCCTCATGTACCTAGTGATGGGTCCAGATAGATGGAGAATCAAAACTCCACTAAGGCATTGTGAGGTTAAGTGTTTGTCTCTAAATATCTATAAGCTAGAAACCTATTGATAGAACTCATTTCATATATGTGGGACATACTTATATAGAAATAAAAAAAAAAAAAAAAAATGAACAAATATTTAAAAGTTCCTTTTTTCAGAAAGACATTTATTTGTATTTTGTGCAAATTTATTCAGGCAAAACACGGGCTTTAGATAGATATGCTTTCTGTGAAATCGAAAATTGGATAGTTTTATGAATTCTTTTTTAAGAAATGTTTTTCTTGCATAATCACAAGTGTAAGATTGACTTGTCCAGTGTGAGATTTTTCTGTCTCAAACTGTGTATGACTACACCGCGAACGATAACGTAAACATTCTGTCTTTATGTAAAGAAATTGAACGTTGTTAAAAAATATTACAGATGCTTAAAATGTTCTCAATTAATTTATTAAGATAAACTTATTTCTATAAAAGGAATTGTTGTATTTTCACTTTTAAACGGCACTATATTTAGATTGCGGAGGGTTCTTCTTGAATGAAAGTTTACGGTATCGGATAGATAATTTTTTTTATTCCCAGTTTTTTATCTATCTAATTAATTTACATTGACTGAAATTCATTTTATCAGTGTACACTACGTGTATACCATTTTCAGGTACGCTCTATCCGATGGTGTATTTAGATTTTTAATTAGATGGAAAATTTAAAGAATTCTTATTTTTTAAATTTTTAAACCTAACATGCCGACGTCATTGACAGGCCGTTATTTTGGAAATAATGCAAGAAAAATAATCATTCATTACAAACTCGTGTGGTAATAGTGAAATTCAACCTTGGGGCCAAGATTCACAGTCTAGGACTCGGCAAAGTCTCGTCCTAGACTGTGAATCTTGTCCCCTGGGTGGAATTTTACTATCCCACACTCGTAGTAATGAATTCTATTAGTCTCTAATTAAATTTCTTAAAAAAAAATCTCTTACAGCTTGTCCTTCTGGTAGACATGGAAAGAACTGTGTAGAGTTCTGTAAACCAAACTGTAGAGGAGGTTGTAACAGATTTAATGGTGTCTGTTAGTTTGGGTGTAACCCTGGATGGAAGGGGACATTTTGTGAGAATGGTATTACTGAATTTTAATCTGTAATTCAACTTTTTAAAAGATATCTTAAATAATTTTTTTCTTTAATAATTAATTTGAAGAGCATAATTATTGTTATTATTTCGACCGACAAAATGTTTTGTATAGTAACGAATTTATGATACCTTTTATAATGCTTGCAAGACCCTCTTTGATTGCTCAGTCTTTTTCAGTGATACATGTATTCCATAATAAAAAAAATATTAATTGAGGTTACAATTTGATAAAAAAATAAATTTTGAGGAAGGTCAATCTAATTTTGAATATTTTCATGGAATTCACATTAATTCTAAAGTCTACTTTGTAGATACACATAGCAAATGTTAAGTAGTAATAGTAATTACAGAAAAACCTGCCCAATCCGAATCTTGTGCAATCCTTAATGTTGTGAAATCCTATGTTAAATTTCTTTCACATAATACTATTTTTCATGTGTGTTACACTGTGCAATCCAACATCCCCACTATTCCCACACAAAATCTCTCTCCTAATACATGTTGGATCTTCTGCAGTATATTAAAAAAATAATTTCCGTGTGATTCCCCGTAGATTTTGTTTATTCCTAGGTTCTTTCATCAAACAAAAAAATGTAAATTTTATAGCTTGAGAACGGTACATCTTTTTTTTCACAGAATGTGATGGTAATACATTTTTTCTCTGGCCTCTCTATACGAGTGAAAAATGCTCAAGATATGAAACAATGAATACAGACTAACGTAATACAGTTTTTAGTAAATCACACACTGTGAAATTTAATACCATACTGATCTATTTTAATTTCAATACAAATCTTTTATCTAAAATAATTTTTCTGTAATCGTCAACCAGGTAAATAGTATCTGAATTGCTAATGATGTCATTGAATATCGATTGCTGAATCTCGTGAGTGAAACCGTTATATTTCCACTATTTTCAGCCTGTTCTCACGGTTGGTATGGTAGAGAATGTAAAGAACGATGTGGTTACTGTAGAGGAAACGAACAATGTCATCACGTGACAGGGTCCTGTTCTGGATTGTGTGAACCTGGATATTATGGAGATCAATGTGTAGATAGTGTGTTTTACCAACACCTTGCAAATCAAAGAGAAATAATTAAATTAATGAGAAGATTCCTTGCTTTGAAATTGCGCAAAAGTGAACTGAGAGAAAACGGCACTTCGACAGTTGACTTAAGATAAGAAATCAAAACCGTTGCAAGTAATCCAGCAAATCAGAGGTTCCATTTTTGTTGGTTTGTAGAAAGATCAGTTCCCCTCATTGTTTATCTACAATACAAACAACATTCACTTCATCTTTTTTTCTTTTTTTTCCTCAAATAAAAATTTAAAAATGATCGTATTTCTACTACAATTGACTTTCAAATGCTTCGTGTTTATTACTACCTAATCTATCTTTTTTAGTGTCACGCTAATTAATTTATGGATTTACATGTTCTTACATGTTTTTCATATTTTTGTATTCATATTTCTCATTCATACAAATAAAAGTTTAAACTACAATGTTTTCGATTTCATTGTATTTTTGAGGAAAAAAACCTTATTTTCCCTACATATTTTTTTTTAATGTGAAACATTACAATGCTAAAAGAAGTTGCTTTTCAGAACTTAATTGTGATTCTGACATATTGGCTCAACAAAAGTAAAAAGATATAAGGGTAGAATAGGCATATTCATTAATACTTTGCTTATTTTATCTCATACGTGTTGGTGATACAGGCCGTTGGATAAACTAATGCTTTATCAACGGGTAGATGCTTTATCAATAGCACTTCCGGTTTTGACACGATTCCTCGCTTAAAAATTTTATTTGAAACTTTTATTTGTGATACCTATTATTGCCTTAATAAAATGAATGATAAAGAGCGATAATATCTTAAAAAGCCAGAAAAAGACTCGTATATTTCAAAGAAGTGTCTTAATTATTTTATCAAGGAACCTGTGTTGGTTTCTTGAAGAGAGATCTAGGCTATATGTTGCCCCCCCCCCCTTTTTAAATCGTTTTCGGAGAAAGTAAACCCTAGCAGTTAAGTTGTTGTTATAAGATTCCTTTAACATCTTCAATAAAGCTTTCTTATACTTTGCTACGCATGCCTACCTAGTAATGTAATGTAACTTACCATGGATCAACAATGAATCTACAAGTAGGCCCCTAGCCTTGCCTATCACGTTTTGTGCTGCCATCGTCCAAAGATTTCATTTTCATGATCCAATGGTCCTTACAACTTTCAGTCAGAAGTCCGTTTGATGTAAAGCTCCAGCTATTGTCACATAATGTTTTCAAAGATGCAGATAGCAAAAATTCTAAATTTTGAACACGATCTTCTTTCTTTCGAGGTAAGTCATAACATCAACGGTGCTACGACACCAAGCTATACGTCATCAGCAATCATTCAATGTAGTTTGGCAGGAGAAGTCTCAAAGTTTTGTTAAAACAAAAGTCTTATGAGATAAATAGAACATCTATAATTGTGTGATTTGATATTTACTTTATCCAACTCGTTGAAATGGTGTATATTCGCTCGGGAAGCCTCGCGAATATATACACCATTTCAACTCGTTGGATAAAGCCAATATCAAATCACACAATATAGATATCCTCTGTATACGCATACGTATTTAATAGAATGACATCATTAATAAGCTTTATTTTAAACACAAATCGAGGCATCATAATTCCCTCTTTGTTTTTTTTTTCCCTACAAAACATATCGAAAAAAATCACAAACGTAAATCTTTATGAACTAATTATGAGTAAAATTAAACATGTTTCTTTAAATCTGATTGCTCTTACAATGTACTAGGTAAATATCAAGCATCCGTTGATTGTAAAGGAACCTTTGATGTGCTTTCAAGCATATTAAAGGCAGGCTAATTCAGAGAATGTGTGCCCCTCCCCCCTGCTTAGGGTGAAAAGAAGACCATTGGCAGTGGGGTGAGGGTGGGGTACAACACAACCCCCCTTCATAAACTTGAAGAACTATCAAATGTATACATGCATATTGAAGCAAATGAAAGTGCAAATATTGATGTTAGAATTGAGTGCTTATTCTTTATTTTGTGTAAAGATGATTGTTTTATATAACATATTTATCACACTGTAATAATGATTTTATGAGTTTGTACAAGGCAAATGTCCAAACTTTTTCATTTCACATGGAAAGTACTATCATTTAGTGAAAAATTAAATTCAATAAAAAGGGATCCTCCTGGACTTGAACGCATGCCATTACTCAAATCTAAATATGAATAAATTCAGGAAAAACCAAGACAAAAAAGAACAACAACAACAACGAAAAAAAAAAACCCAAAAAAACCCCAAAACAAAAACAAAAAACAAAAAAAGAGAGAGAGAGATCATAACTGTAAACCCTAAGCATTACACTAGATTTTGATAATAAATCCTGGTGGTATTTGTTAAATTCACATGAGTCGCGCTCCCCATCCTGTACTCGTCTTGTTTTCTATGAGCCTGAAGCAGCTATTTTTTATTCAGAAATATACAGGACGATGTATAAGCTCATTGACCTTTTTTATGTCCAATAATTTTGATGTGAATTTTGATTTAGATCAATTTGAAGTACCATGTAAATTGAGACAATAAAATAATGAAATAATGGGCACATACATGTACCCTCGCGCATATTGTTGCACTGTATCTTAGCTTATTAGAGATAATGAAATTATACAATTTGCCAATGATCAGTGATTTTCTTTTTTTCTCTTTCTTCAGTAAAAATTGTAATTGCAAATATTATATTCTTTTATTCTTGTACACATTGACTGATATATTTTCCCACTTTATATTTATCAATTGACTATAAATAATGGTAAAAAAAACTATAGAAAATAAATCTGTAAATATTTATGCAATATTCTATCTTGAAAATTAAAAAGTATAATTTATAAACTGCTTTATTTAAAAAAAAGAAAGTAAATATAACACACAGGCTGGAGAATAAAATATAAAATAGTATTTTTATTTGAACTGTAAATTTACATGCTTTGCTTGTATGTACTATGTTTAAACATCAACACACTCCATCTTTTTTCCCAATCGACAGATTTATATATTTTGATTGGTCGACCCGATGATTGGTTAATCACTAATCCTGATTGACGGCTCTGTAAAGAAATACCGAACTCATGTTCGCTTTCTGGGACCACTACTGAATTTGGTGTTCGCTCTCTAAGTCTGCTTCTGGTTAGCTAGAAAGCTCGGGGCATACCCTAGCTGAACCCGAGAAAACCCGAGGGTGACCCAAAGAGCCAACCCTGGGTGCGCTCAAGGTTTGCTTTCTGGTAATGTACATGTACATACTAACGTTCGGATAATGCTAATATTTTAAGCTTTGTATTAAACCTAATAATTTTTCACATGTCCCTATGCTAAAATAATAGTGTAAAGTGTCATTTCATATAATAAATACTAGTAAGATAAAAGGGGCTGGACACTTTGAGAGTGGTGAGAGAGGCTGTCTGGAATTTTGGTACATTATTTCATTTCAAGCTTAAAATCTTCTTCGGATAACGCCCGGAAACGAAAGTGTCCAACACAAACGAAATAAAATATACCACTTTAAACTTTGACCTTGTGTCCTCAAAATCAATTGGAGTTTTCCCTTTTCAATAAGGATTTGTTATGTAAAATGTCATTGCAAAAGCTCGAAGTATTCTCGAGATATCATGTGTGAATTAAAGCGTAAAAACAGACAGAAATTTTTACCTTGACTTTTGGCCTTTAGACCTAAAAATCGACAGGGTTTATCTTTAGGCTATACGGAACTACTATGCAAAATTTCATTGAAAAAAAGCCCTCAGGGTACTTGAGATATCGTGCGAAACGAAAGAGTTACAGACAGACAGATTGACGGACGGACGAACAGACAGGCCCAAATTAATATCCTCCACTTTCAGTGAAAGCGGAAGACAATAAAAGCTTACAATAATGACATCAAAAGACTGATGCTGATATTGAAGAGCTTAAGGCCGAAGATAAAGAAACAGTGTAAACACAGGTCCATTTTTAATTTAATCAATGAAAAAAAAAAAGAATATTTTTTTTCTTTAAATTTGTCATTTAATACTGTTTTCTATACTGTAACGTATTCAGATAATTTGAAGGAATTTGCCGTGGCTGCTACTTACACCATCTTCGTTTGGGCTAATGATTAACTTCTTTCAACGAGGACACATTGGTATCAATATATCTCAATGAATACCACTAACTTTCTTTCATGTCTTGCTAAAAGTAAAACAACTCAGCCACGAGACCTTGGGTAAACATAACTATATCCCCCTAAAACAAACAAACAAAAAAAAAAATAAATAAAGATTGTATGAAGATGTTTTAAAGTACATTAAATATGTCAATCCTGCTTCTAATGAAAATTTTGAAATTTCGTTGGTCAAGTAGGATACTGCATGTATTTACCTTGTCAATTGTCTATCAATATCATATTGCTAATGTGCCCAATATATTGACTTTTGTCCCTTTATATTTTCTTCCCAAAATAGGGTCTTAATTTTTTTAATTGATTTTGAGTTAGAGTTTGGCTATTTCATCCATTTAAAACAATTTTTTATTTAAGATATTATAGTTCATAAAATTTCATTTCTGACTCATGAAACCTGAGTAAAAGTCAACCTTAAACTCATGTGGTTAAATGATTTACAAGAGGTGACGAAATTAAGCCTTTTCCATGCTTAAAAACAAAGTGACGTCACAGAAGGCTTACTGTTAAAGTCAAATACCGTAAAAGAAAGGAATGACTTTACAGACTCCTGTGATGCGGATATTGACCAACGTTTTGATTAAGAAAATAGTGAGAATGTATCAAAGTTAATATCTGTGTGAGTGAGACTGAACCGCAGCATTGAAAATACTTCAATTTTTTTTTACACTGGACATTTTGATCAACACCGATGACCAGGACCTGATGAATGTATTGGAGCAGACGATGATAAACACTAAACCCCATCCTCAAAACTTCATAATTAATTGCAATGTTATCAGAAACTTCAATTACAGGCATGATTGAGTAGACTTTTTAAAAGTAAAGGTAAATCAAATTTACCAATTACATTTGATAAAACATTGAACTGTAGAATCAAGACCATTAATCTAAGATTCTAATACAGTCGGCAATGTCATAAAAGCAGCTCTCAAGTGAAAACT